AACCAATACAAGTTAAAAATTTCATTCAGGGGGCTGGGGATTTAGCTCAGCAGCACAGTGCCTGCCTGGCAAGCAAGAGGTCGTGAGTTTGATTTCCAGTACTGGGAAAAAAAATTTTCATTCAAAAGCTAGGTGTGGTGGTGGACACCTATAATCCTAGCATGTGGGAGGCTGAGGCGGGAGGATCACTGAGAATTTCAGGCCAGCTTGGACTACAGAGTGAGTTCAAGGCCAGACTAAACTACATAGCAAGAGCCTATCTCAAAAACAAACAGCTGGGCATGGTTGCACACACCTATAATCCCAGCACTTGAGAGGCTGAGGCAGGAGGATCCTTGCAAGTTGGAGACCAGCCTGCACTACAAAGTGAGCTCAAGGCCAGCCTGAACTGCATAGCGAGACCCTGTCTCAAAAAGATAAAACAAACAACAAAAAACTTAATTTGCCCGAGCATATGTAGAACAAGTGATTTTCCTTAGTGTGGAAGGCTTTGACCAGGTACCCACTAAGGATCTCCGGCTATGTAGTTAGCACCTAGTGGGATGGATGAATGGGGCAGAGCCTGGGACAGAATGATGCCGAGGCAGAATGATGCCGAGGCTTCCTGAGCACTCACAAATCCCAGGCGCCTGTGTACTTTGCCAGAACAGAGCACACACAGGTGCAGTGCTTTGTGCGGGGCAGTAACTCAGCAAATACTCACTGGCTTGCTTGCTTTAACCAACCGGTGCTTGTGGGAAGGTTAACAAAACCTCACAGAGCCGGGTCCCATGCATCCAGGGCCTTGTTAACATTAAGTGCTTGATTCACAGTGGGCCCTGGAATAACAGCCACGCGTCCTTAGGGCAGATGCCCTGGCGTGGGCCTTGGCACAGCCTGGCCAGCGGCTCTCCTTCCCAGCCCACATACCTGTGGGCTTGGGGCTCTGAGCTGTGTGGTTTCTACCTTGGTCTCTGTGTGCTAGGGCACAAGTGGTGGGTGGAGGCTCTTTTCACATTCTTGCCCATCTCTCTGGTACTCTCCAGAGTACTGGTTTCCTGTTTGGCTTGCATTTTGTGCACTCCCAGAGTTCATATTACAGATGGAGAAGCCCCACCCTGCTTCCAGCCTCTGCAACATCTCAGTAGCTACCACCTGACAGTCTCGGTTTCTCCAGCCAAAGCCTGACCACCTACGTCTGATTCTTGCTTGCTGTGTGAGCTTAGTAAGTTACTTAACCTCTCTCTGCCTGAGTGTCAGAGGTAAAGGAGTTAGAGCAGGTGTGGTGGCACATGCCTATAATCTCAGCACTCTGGGAGGCTGAGGCAAGAGGATCAAAAGTTTGAGCCTAGCTTGGGCAATTAGCAAGACCCTGTCCTAAAGATACATTGTTTTAAAAAGTGGGGGGAAAAGCCGGGTGTGGTGGCACACGCCTGTAATCCCAGCACTCAGGAGGCTGAGGCAGGAGGATCGTTTTTTGAGTTCAAGGACTGCCTGGGCTACAAAGTGAGTTTAAGGCCAGCCTGAACTGCATGGTGAGACTCTGTCTCAAAAAAGACAAAAAAAAAAAAAAAGGAGGGGAAAAAAGGGACAAGATGGGCTGGGGATGTAGCTCAGTGTGAAGGCCTGGGGTTCAGTCGCCAGTACTGAGAAATAAGTCACTTTTGGTGCTGAGGGCAGAGTGTGGTGCACAGCCTGTGTTCAGTGAAGGGTAGCTCTAGCTGTCATTTTAGCCCCAGGGTATTCTGGGGATACCTGCACCTCCTCAGATAGCGGGGCGGGGCCACACCAGCCTCACTCTGCTGTCTGACCTTCCCACGCTCGGGGCCCGCTCCATCCCCACCTATACTTTCCCCTCACTCAGCTTTTGTGGCCGCAGTGGCCCTTTAGTCCTCAGCTACAGTGAGTCTCTCCTGCCTCAGCCCCAGTGCTCCTTGGAGAGCTGGCTCCTCATACTCCAGGCCCCAGCCTGAGGTCCACTCCGCAGGGCCCGGCCCTGACCCCGAGTGCAGACCATCTTTCCTCCTTGGATTGCAAACGCCGGGAGCAAGAACCGCTCGGTCTCATTCCTGCCTGAGCTGCAGTGCGCCCATCTGCTCACTCACCATGTGACACTAAGAGTCTGCTGAGAATCGGGGTCCCGGTCTGCTCTCCGTGAGCCCTCAGCTGTCTCCCCTGAGCCCCACTGCTTTGCCCAGAAGGGACCCGGCTGACGAATGCCTGGGAGGGGACCCTGCCTGCCCGGCCTCTGGTGAAGGCCTTGCGCAAACTGAAAGTGTATTTTCTTGCTTCACAGCTCCCTGAAAGGAGGCCTGGGTGGGTGGAGCAGCAGGAGGAGGGCTGGGTGCTGCTCAGCACAGCCAAGCTGCAGGTTTTGTGGGAAGGGGTGTAAAGGGTCACACTCTAGCTGAGAAACTTGGGGTCCTTCCAGAGGCTGGAGGAGAAAGCAGTGCGGGAGGTTGAACATCTGGCAGAGAATCAGTCGCCTCTTGGAAGAGGATCCTTAGGGAAGGGGTGGGACAGTGATCGGGATCAGGGAAACTGAGTCAAGGCTTGGCACATGAATTTCCTTGCCCATAGGGAAATTGGTTGAACCGCTGGGTCAGACTAAAGGCCAGCAGGAAGCCAAGGGAGTGTGCTCCCCAAGGGACAGGAGGAGGCCAAGATCTGTACGGGCTGGAGGCGGTGGCAGGACAGCAAGAGGGAAAGGGCCCTTCCTGGGTCTCAGGCAGCATCTTCGCACCCAAAAACGGTGCAGACAGGTGCAGGGGGAGCGGTCTCCTGAGCTGCGCCTGGGACTTCTCACACGCTGCATGGTTGTCCTCTGCAGTCCCCTCCCCCTGCCCTGACCTAACTGCTGCAGGGCCCCAGGCTGCCCAAAGGAGAAAGGGGGGCGTTGAGGACAGCGCCCCGGGAGCGGAGGGCAAGCTGCGGCCTCTGGTGGCCTCCTCCCATCCATGCTGGAGCCAGAGTGCTGGAAATGGGGGTGGGAGCGCTGGCACCGGAGCACTTGAGCTACCTCGACCTCGCGTGACTGCTCCGAATCTTGTATGGTGTGGAGGATGTGCACTCCCCGCTGTGGGGAGACAGTTTTATTTTTATAAAGGATTTGGAGGGGTGGGAACAGGGGTGCAGTGATGGCAGCTTGCGGGGTAGGAGTGGGGATGGGGCTGTAGAGGCCTCAGCCTCTTCCCCTGCTTCCCCTCATTTCATCCTCCCAGTGCTGCAGGCAGCTGCCAGTCCTGTGGGACCTCACGCTGTGACTCTCCGTGAGGAGCCACACGAAGTGACGGGGTGACCCGTGGTTCTGGGCTATGTCCCTGACCTGCTCAGCCGTGGGGGGCGAAGTAACCCTCAGCAGCACTCACTAGTTTGAATCCTTGGGCCCCAGAGCGCTGGGCCTTGACTGCTCCCTGCAGTGAGGGACAGGGATCCTTCAGCTGTCACAGGGCTCTGAAGCCCAGCTGGGAGCCAGTGACCAGCAGCTGCTGCTGCGCCTCAGAGCCTGGCTCTCCTCTTCTGAAGAGCCGCACCTGAGCTGCCCCCAAATGCCCTGCCCTGTCCAGCTGGGAGCTGGCCCTCCAGTGCAGGCGTGTCCCGGGACACCTGGCTTGGGCCAGGCGAGTCTGTGCTATGTCCCTGGGCCTGGATCAGGAAGGGGAGGCTCCACTTTAGCTTTTGGAGAGCCTGCTGGGGCCACCAGCATGGGCCACGCAGAGGTGGCCAAGAGTCATTTCGTTGGTGTGGACTCCAGCGGGGACTCATCCAGCGGGCTGGGCTGCAGGGGGCTTCTCTAACGGCTACGGCCCTTCCACTTCTCTTAAGTGGGAAGGTGGTGGGCACAGGACTCCTTCTGTGAGGCCCACCTCAAATGGCACCTGCATTGCCTGGCATCTGACACCACAGGCTGTCTAAGGGGCCCAGGCCCGAAGACCCACGAGCAAGCCTTTCAGGACCCCTGCCATGTGCTCCAGGGGTCAGCACCTCCCCAGGAAACAGCCTGCCGCTCCTCCCTTCCTCACTTGAAAATAAGCCCGTGCCTGGCCTCAGTGGGTGAGAGGGGGCTAGGGGCTGCCCTCTGGCTCCAAAGTTTTGGAGTGGACTTGGAGAGTCCTGCCGAAGGATCGGGACAACCAGGGAGGTGATACCCCAGCACAGCGGATGAGAAGGGGACATGCTGGGATCCTGAGTCGGACTCAGCCAGCGGCGGTCAGCTGAGCTCCTCTCCAGCCAGTGCAGAGGGGCTGGAGGTGTAGCTCAGGGTACAGCATGTGCCTAGCGTATGCAGGGCCCTGGGTTCCACCCCCAGCACCTTCCAAAGTGATTAAGACAATGAGGTAGTTGAGCAGTGAGGAACTCGGGGTGATCCCCTATGTCTCGGAACAGAAGCACTTTGGAGAAATACCTACCAGGAGGGAGTGCCCTAAGCAGGTGGTCCCTAGTTCTCCCCAGAAGGGAGGCTTTGGGGCACTTGGGTTCCTAGGCAGGGCTGCAAGGCACACGGCGCTGGCTGCTGGGCTGCCCCTCGCTCCCCGCCCTGCTCAGCTTGTCCCTTGCCCTGTGTTTGCCTGTGGTATCCTAGGAACACAGGGTTTGAAGCTCTGTGGTCCTGTTACATAACAGCTCCAGCCCATCCCTGAGTTCAGCCCTCCAGCACGGAGCCTCTTCTCCAGATACGGGCTCCTGCTGCCCAGGCCGACATCCTGCCACTCCCTTGCCCACCCCCGAGTGCACGGGGAGGCAGCATCAGCTGGATTCTTTCCTCCGGGCGCCCGTCCTGTCCTTCTCCCGAGTGAGCACACCACCTGTCAGTGGCTGCACCCCGGCCACGGCTTCCCAAAGCCGGCGGGCTCCGGGCAGCCCCAGGGTGGGCATGGCACCCTTACCCCTCCCTGGGCTTTGCCCTGCAGCCCTTCCGCTGCTCCAGACGGGATAAAGCCGGCACACCCTTGCTAGGACCCTCCCCAGCCTGTCCCGCCACTGCCCCTGTGCCTGCCCCCAGGCCACCCCTGTGTTCCTACCTGTCCTCTTCTCGGGCCAAGGCAGAGAGTGCTCCAGCAGGGACTTGAGGACCTCAGGCATGTCCATGGCACGGGCCACTCTGATCCTCAGATCACAGCTCACCACAGCCCAGCAGGAGGTATCTGCTCGGGAGTTTGGAAGCAGCTGGAGAGGCAGGGGCTGGCCAGGGAGCCGCAGGCTGGGGAGGCAGGCGGGGTGGGAGCCTAAGGCAGCCAATGGGCAGTACCGGCCCCGGCCCGCCCGTCCACCCCCGGCTCGGCCACCTGCCAGCTCTGGCTGCAGCCAGGCCTTCCCTTCCCGCTGCTTGGCAGGGCGGACCTGGCCCTGTGCCAGCCACAGCACGTGGAGCCACAGCGCCAATCCTCTGACAGAGAACCCGGCCTGTTATCTAACTTTGCAAAGGGAAGTTCTCCCCCAGGCTGGGAGCCATAGCTGGGCTGCCAGTGGAGAACGGTGAGCAGAACTCCACGCCCACATGGAGCAGGCCAGCTGAGCCCTGGCGCACGGCACGAGGCAGGCGGAGCCCTGGAGGCCCAGGCACCATGGAGAGCAGGGCACTCCAGGCAACGCACTGGGCTGGGATCTGAAGCCCCAGGAAGAAAGGACGACCAGCACGCCAAGCAGCTCAGCACAAAAGACACGGGGACGCTAGTGGCAGCACCACGCATTCCTAGGCAAGCTTGAGCCTTGAAACGTTGGGGCGTGTTCCGATGATGTGGCTGTGCCGCGCACACGTGTCCTGGAGAGCACAGGAGTGTACATGTGGCATGCATAGTCGGCTGTGCCACCTGCAATGCTGCAGCCCTTCTCCAAAGCAAAGTGACAGAGCTGCAGCCTGAGGGGCTTTGGGCTGGGGAGGGGGCGCGGAGGGCGGTCCCGGGAGTCCTGGGAGGGTGGGGCAGCCCTGCAGCCCTGGCTTAGGCTCCACCTGGAGCGCAAGCCCTGCTTCCCCCTGGCATAGGGGCCTTGGTGGCAACTGGCCGTTTGCTATGGTCTCCTTCCCTGCTCTTCTGGTCAAGACACTGTGTGGCCTCGGTGGTCCCAAGGCCACTTCAAGGGTGGCTGAAGCCAAGAACCTGCTGTTACCATCTTTCTGCGGCCCACATCAGAGTGAAGCTGGACTTGGTCTGAGGATGGCAGGTTTTTGTTTTTAATTGCCTGTAGTACTGGAGATTGAGCCTAGGGCTTTCACACTGAGCTATGTGTCCAGCCCTATCTTTATTTTTTGAGACAGGGCCTTGCTAAGTTGCTAAATTGTCTGGGCTGAGCTCAAACTTTTAATCCTCCTGCCTCAGCCTCCCAGAGTGCTGGGATTACAGGAATGTGCTGTGACACCTAGCTCAATGTCAGATTCTGCAGTGCCTGCCATATACTGATGTGGACTTTTTTTTTGTACCAGGAATCGAACTCAGGACCTTGTGCTTGCCAGGCAGGTGCTGTGCCGCTGAGCTATAACCCTGGCCACACTGATGTAGCCTCTTGAACAGCGATCCTGGGTCTCAATTGTAGAACTATTGAACGCTGTGACCTCTTGGTTTCCACACTGTAGGGCTCTGGGCTGGATGTGATAATCACTTGGTTTTCTGCTCTGTGGCTCATCCCTACAACACCCCTCACTGCTTCCTCAAACCCTACTTTTTTTGAGACAAGGTTTTGCTGTGCAGTTTAGGTTGGCCTTGAACTCACAGCAACCCTCCTGCCTCAGCCTCCCGAGTGCTGGGATTACAGGTGTGTGCCACCTTGCCCCGCTCCCAAATTATACTTTGCACAAAACTAGAAGTACTCCAGAAGTCTTTCTGGGTCTACCCTTTCCAACAGCTCCGGTTTACTGGGTAATTACCTTCTTTTCCACCCTAATAACCCTCTTCAAATTATGTTCTTTTCCTAAATTAATTTTTTCTTTTTTTTCCTAAATTAATTTTAATATTTGAATAAAAACATGGCTCAAGGCTGAAAACATTTGATAAGGTATACTTTAGAAATATCACGTATATAATTTCTAGGCTGGGTGTGGTGGTACAGGCCTGTAATCTCAGCACTCAGGAGGCTGAGGCAGAAGGATTGTTAAGAGTTTGAAAAAAAAAAGAGTTCGAGGCCAGCCTGGGATATAGAGGGGGTTTAAGGCCAGCCTGGACTACCAAGACACTGTCTCAAAAAAAAAAAAAAAATCATTTCTAGCTGGGGGCAGTGGCACACACTTATAATATCAGCTACTTGAGAGGGTGAAGCAGGAGGATCATGAGTTTAGGGCAGTCTTGGGCAATTTAACCCTGTCTTTCTGCTTCATTCCTGCTCCTAACAATTTTAGTTTATTATTTATTTATTTATTTATTTTTGTCTTTTTGAGACAGAGTCTCGCTATGCAGTTCACACTGGCTTTGAGCTCACTTTGTAGCCCAGGCTGCTCTCGAACTTGGAACGATCCTCCTGCCTCAGCCTCCCGAGTGCTGGGATTACAGGCGTGTGACACCACACCTGGCTATTATTTATCTTTCTAATGTTTCTTTCTGCAAAACTAAGCATAGAGGTACTATAAAGTAGTTGTTTTTTTTTTTTTTTTACTACTTTTTTCTTTGAGGGAGGGTATCATTACATAGTTCAGGCTGGCCTTGACCTTACTCTGAGGCAGTGTCCTCTGGCTCTGCTGCCTGAGGATGAGGGTAGGGCAGGGCTGCTGTGCAGGCACCTTGGGTTGGCCTCTGATGGACTCAGGTTGGCTTGGTACATTAACCATGGCGTGGCCCCTTTAGTGCAAAAGCAGCTTAGCAGCAAGTGGGTAGGCTGGGAGCTGCGTGGGTAGCTTGCCCAGGGGTCTCAATTTCAGAGGCAACAGGAGGTCTCCCAAATGTCTCAGAAATACCCAGCTGCTGTACAGCATTGCATTCTGCAGATCCATTCCTCGAGGCTTCTGCAGACTCTTGAGTGCTTCCCACATGCTGTGGTTTCAGCATGTCCCGAAGTCCGTGTTGTGGACCCTCACTCCCTAGGTTTGCTTACTGGCAGTGTCTGAGGGTGGGCATTCACGCGGAGGAAGAGAGCCCTGGACCTGCACACTTGCTGTCAGCCTGTGCCATCGTCTGCCGCACTGTGGAGCGGGGGACAGTGCCATGCTCCTGGACATCCCAGCCTCCAGAACCGTGAGCCAAGCAAACTTTATAAATTTCTTGGTCTGAGGTATTTTTTTTTTTTAAATTTTAGGTATCTTGTTATACAACAAAATATGTTGCACCAAGCTAGACGCTGTGAGGAGTTCAGAGCAGTCACATCCCCAGTCAGGCAGCTCCAGAAGCCTATTTTTGAGCCTCTGCAAGTCTCTGTCAGCACCCCGCTGCGGTCAGGGAGGGACCCCATCAGCAGGCTGCAGAGCCAGGCGGAGACCGGGAGAAGGCAAGGCTGCGTAGGTCCCCAGGAGACATGGAAGGGCCGCTGGGCAGCCGTGTCAGGTGGGATGGTCTCTGTCTCTCGGCTTCTGGACTCAGATGGTCTGGGTCCGCTGGTGTCCTTATTGATAGCACGGAACCCATCCCCACCCCTACCCATTGTTTTTCGTGGATTCTATTTGCCCCCAGTTCACAGGGAACAAGGAGTCCTTTATGTGCTGACAGCTGTGTCTCTTCGCAGAGAAGCTGTGACCCCAGGCTGAAGGCAGCCCATGGTGTGTATAGCCTAGAGCTCCAGCTCTGGGGGGACTTGGTCAAGAACTGTCCCTGTGCCTCCCTCTCGCCTTGGTGAGCATCTGAGCTTCTAGGGGCAAAATAAAGATGCCAGAAGAGGTTGACACAAACTCCCTGATCATCTATCAGGTAGGCCCAGGGGATGGTGGCCCGGGTGTGTATTTCCCACGAGGCTGCACAGGCTCCCTTGGCAGGGGATTATGTAGATGCAGTTCTTAGCAGATCCTTCAAAGGCCCTGCCAGAGAGCAACACAGCTGCCTGCAGGTCCCTGTAGGCCCTCCGCCTGCCCCAGGCCGCTGCTTGAAGGCAGTGTCCCAAGTGGTGGCATCAGCACCCCACGGCCCCTCCTCACAGGGCTGAAGATCAAGCAGCAGATCAAGTTCAATCAAGGGGGCCCGTGGAGGACACGAGTATCAGCCACAGCCTGTAAAGGCCCATTATGTTGGTATGCAGAACCATAGTGAAATGAAATTTAGAGAAAACAAAAAAACAGTAAGCACGCAGTGATCACAGTGACACAAAACCCTTCTATTTAAGTCAGTCTTCCTGGGCCACTGTGGACTCACAACCTGAGCCAAGTAAAGACCAGAAGGAAATTAAAGGGAATTTAGTCCACTACGTTCCCTGAAGTCTTGCTCGTCGTAGTCTTGCTGCTGCATCTGCACTTTCCTCGCAGCAGCCGTGCCTTGCTGTGCCACATTGCAGTGCCGATGGCGGTGCTTAGAATCCCAAAATGTCAGGGCCAGCGGGAGCTTTGCCAGTACGAGTTCCAGGCGAGTCTTGATAATTTTTCTGCCTTTCTGAGGGCTCTTGGAACATCTGCTGAACCTCTCCGGGCTGTAAGTGTGGTCAGCAACTTGCAAGGTTGTCATGAAGAGACACTTTCTGCGCAGTGGCCAGTGCCAACGAGGTGCCCGATAAAGTTGGCTGCTTCAGCTCCTCATCCCCTCACTTATCAGGCATCTGAGCGGCTCCTGCATACCTGGCCCGCATGCCTCGTCTCTGGGTGATTCGCAGGCCCTGGACCCCGGCTCTTCAGCCACTCCACCCTTGGGCGGGGCGGTGCAGCGGGGATCACACTGTAAAAGCGCGGCATGACCTCTTGCCTTCCTGGAGAGGCCGCATCCACAAAGGGCACAGAGGCCAGGACAGCACAGGAAAGGCAGGGGACAGCAGACGTCCCGGGCAGCCCCGTGTCGTGCAGCGAGCACACGGGCTGCAGAAGAGCCGGGAAAGGGTGGCTCCCGGGCCCCCAGCATAGAGCGCCGTCGCCCCTGCCACCGAGGTGCCGCTTAAGCCAGGGCAGCTGGGTCTCCATGTCCACACAAGAACACAGGCCTGCCCCACCCCTCGGAATGCCTGCCTGTCACACAGCCAGTGCCAGCTGGTGTGCCCCGTGAGTACCTGGGCTCCTGGGGCACCAGTGCCAGGTGGGGAGGAACAGGAGTGATGGCTCAGGGACAGGGGTCAAAGTGCACATGTTTATTTTCTAGAACAAAGGCTAAAAGAAGCAAGTTTCTTCCATTTTATTTTAAGAAGGACAAAAGTTGTTATTAAAACATCTACATTATTATCAAGATACTAGACCTTATGATATTTAATATTAAAGTGTGGTATTCTTAAAGTTTTAATACACAGACATTTTAAAAGGACCATTAAATTGATTACTGTCCAGCTGTGAAATGCAGCATCCCCTCGGCCCACCCCAGCCCAGCTGTGCCATCTTGTCCCCGCCCACCCGCTGGGGTGGGCGCAGGCCCTAGACCCCACTCTGAATCTCCCAGCCAGGGACCTGGAGAGGGGTCACAGCTGACACAGTCCACCTCGTCATTAACAGAGCTCTCTTGTCCCCCACTCTCCCCGCTCCCTCTGTCCGCTCTCCTCCCGACACCATGGGGAGCCAGCTCTGGCGAGGCCAGGGAGCCCCAGATCCCAAAGGCCTAGGCGGTAACAGCTCAAGATGAAAACTCTGGACTCCCGTCCTGTTCTTGGGGGACAGACAGATCATTCCCTTTCCCTGAGCCCTCTGGTTCTCCCTGCTAGACAGGGCTGGTCCAGGAAACCAGCAGGCAGCAGAGCGCCCAGATCACTGCTGAGCCCAGTCTAGTCACTAACTCCATGAAAATGGCCCGATGACCCCAAATTCCCTCCTAGTCACGCGAGGATGGCTGCATATTCTGGCCAAATTCTTTATCTTTAGCCCTCATTAGAAGCAATTCCTTGGATACCACACACATATATAATATTATATAGAGTGATATATTTAATACCTGTGTATATATGTATCACGGGGCGACATATATACACACTAAAAACAGGGCTGGTGACGACAGACTGCAACAGCACAGATCAGGAGGACAAGTGCCATCCCCGTTCCCGGCAGCGCCCCACCTTGGCTGTGGTCTCGCCTCCAGCCAGCCACACGGCCAGCACCGTCCTCCCGCAGTGCTGGCCCGCCAGGGGAGGGGCGGGAAGGGGGAGGGCGCATGCCACGATTACTGGGACAAGGCTGGGCAGCCGAGGCAGGAGGAACAGGGTCCGTCGGCCAGGGTGCCCATTATGCCATCACGCGCACTGTGGATCCTCGCTGGAGGAAAACTACCTGGTGTTCTGTCCTCTCCACCACACTCCCCCCGGCCTTAGTCCCTGGTTCCTTGCGGGGGTGCCCCACTCCCTGTGCCAACAGCACGGGGCATTCTGGAATGTCTGGGGAATCAGGGGACGGGGGCTGCCCGCGAGATGGGATGGAGGGGGTGCACGCAGACACAGCAGACAAGGGGAGAGGCCTGAGGGGCCGGGACTGGGGGTCAGCTGGGGTCCCAGGCAGCTGGCAGGGCTGGGGGTTGGGGAAGGGTGGGACAGCTGGGCATCATGGTATGTTTGGGTCTTGGGTCACCGGGAAAGGGACTGTGTCCCCCCCCCCGGAGTGCCCAGGATGGAGCCTCCCGCTTCTCCACATCCCCAACCCCTTCTCTGTGCCAAGTGCGGAACCTGGGCTCACGGCGCCCTGCCCTCTCCACCTCTTCCTGAGCAGGTGTGGGGACCTAACTCTGCTGCTCCTCTGACAGCTTCCTCAGGAGGGGACTGTCCTCCAGGGGTGCTGCCTAAGGCCCAGTCACACTCTGATTCTGATTCCGAGACTGTCCCACCTCTGCCCCAATCACTGTTTTTAACTGAGCTCTGCCTCCTACCAGGGGCTGGAGACCCTGGGCCAGATCACTCCTCCGGATAGGCCTCAGTTTTCCTTTCTGCAAAGTGGGGCTCAGGCAGGGTCCACTCTGAAGGCTGAGGATGCCTGATCTATACTAGCGGCCTGCGAGGAAACGGGGCAGGGGTGGGAGCGATTATCCAGCCCTCCAATCTGACGATGATTCAACCAGAAGGGAAACTGAGGCCCAGGGTGTACGTGACCAGTACACCCCGGCTCCACCCTGAGGCTGCATTTTAAAGCTAACTGGGGCCACCTGCCCTCTGTTGTGTCCTGATCTGCCCCCCGAGGAGGGGGCGGGAGGGAGGGAGAGGAAGAAAGGACCCTCCTGCTGCAGATTCAAGTGGGGACCCCAGGCTCCCCAGCCCTGAGTTTTGGGCCCCCTTTAGGAGCAGACAGAAGTTAAAGCTGTAGGCTGAAGCCGGAGGGGTCAGCCAGTCCCCTCCGTCCCCAACCAGGAGAGCCGTGGGGGTGGGGGAGGGTCTGTCCCGGTGTCAGCAGGATGAGGACCCTGGGACCACGTGGGGCTGCAGCATGTGCACCAGGGACGCACACCTGGATGGTGGGGGTGGAGAGGATGGAAGGGGCCCCGGGGGCTGGGGGCTGCCTCAGGAGGGCACCCCCCACCCCCAGCTGGCCTACCCTAGCCCTTCCATCGCGCCCTCTGTCCCCACCCCCACCCGACCCCAGGACTTTGCCCACGGCCGAGACCTCGCCCCTACTCCGCAGCGGCGGCGGTGCTGGCGGTGGCAGCGGTGGCGGCAGCAGGAACTTCTGGGGTGGCACCAGCAGTGTCTCCATCTTCTTGCAGCAGGAAGTTGTATTTGCCGAAGTCGTCGTCCCGTGGGCACAGGAGCATGTCCTTGCGGGCCTTGGCCAGCTTCTGCTTCAGCACCTCCCGCCGGTCCAGCCACTCATTGAGCTCCTCCTGGCCGTGGGCGCAGCGGCACTTGTCCCCATCCGGGCAGGCCTTGCCCTTCTGGAGCCTGTGGGCAGCGGGGGGCTCACCACCTGCACGCTGCGCGGTGGGACCCGGATGCCCGCACGGCTTCCCTGAGACAAGCCCCTCCCCAGGCCACCTCAGTGCCTGCTTAGGGACCCCCGGATACCCTGGTCTTCTCTGGGACTCGACTCAGGGCAGCAAAGGAGGGGTCCTGGCAGACCTGAGCCCACCCGCACCCCGCCCTGCCCTGGCACCTGTCACAGAGCCGGAACTCGCCCATGGGGAAGCGGTAGGCCCAGCCGCTGGCATCGCTGTCGGAGGTGAAGACCTTCTCCTTGTGCTTCTCCGACTGGATGTGCTGCTGCCATTGCTTCTTGCTGTTGCTGTTCTTGCCGCAGAGCCAGCAGTGGTAGCCCATCTGCGGACACACGTGGTGGGCGCCGGCCCGCCCCGCCCCGGCCCGCCCCTCCCCTCTCCGGCCCGCAGTCTCGGGCTGGGCCAGCGCCTGACACAGGGACTTACCATGATGTCAGCATAGTCTGTGGGCATCTGGATCTGCTTCTCCCCTTCCCGGGAGCTGATCGGGGTCCCTTCCCCGGGCTTCCCTGGGTTGTGTTTCTTCAGCCACATGTCATAGGTCTGCTGCATGTCTAGGACTGGACGGGGGACAGAGCGCCTGGTGAGGGGGCTCCCCCTCTATCCTGCCCCAGTTCCGGCTGGACGTGGGAACCACGGGACCACAGGCCTGGACCCTAGGTCGCCTGGGCTGAGGCCCGGCCGCCAGGCAGCCTGGAGAGGGAGGCACAGGCTAGGGCAGAGGGCAGGGAAGGGATGGCGGGGGCTGCAGGGCGTCTCGCAGTGATGGCGGGGCGAGGGCGAGCCTGCTGCTCACTTTTGTTCTCCTTCATGAACGTCCACATGTCCCTCTCCTCGGGGCTGTGTGCAAAGGAGCAGTTCCCCACGTACTGGCACTTGCGGCCGTTCTGCGCGTGGATGCAGAGCTGGGGGTGGGCGTGGAGAGCCTCTGAGTCCCACGGGCCAGGCGCGGGGAGCCCTCCGCCGCCCTCCCCGCCCCCCACCCCCGCTGCTCACATCGTATTGCTGTGGGAAGTTGCGGATGGATGGCAGCGGCCTCACTGACACCCATTTTCTCTTGGCCTTGGACATCACCAGAAGGACCCGCCTCTCCTTGGTCCAGCTGCAGGAGAGAGCAGCCGCTTGGGGAGAGCTCCAGAGAGCTCCAGAGGGATCGCTGGCCTGAGCCGTGGCCTCCTCCCCTCCGGTGCTCAGGTAGATGCCACCCTGGCCAAGCCTCTGCCTGGCACCCACTCACCAGTGACGGGCCTTGGCACTGCAGTACTTGAGGTCCTTGTCTGGCTCTACCACCTGCCCATTTCTCCAGCACTGGCCACACACAAACTTCATCTGCAAGTCGAAGGTGCTGGGCCCATGTGTCCTTGGGGCACCCTGTTGGGGACAGAGAGGGTTGGAGAAGCCACAGGCCCAAAGCCCGGGGGTCTTTCACACACACAGGCAGCCTCTGGGAGTACTGAGGCCACCCAGCCTAGGAGCAGGTTGGTCTACTTCCCGGTTCTGCCCAAAGGCGGGGGCCTTCCGATGGCGGAGCCTGTGGCTTCTTAGTGGGGGCCTGGCCTGGAGCGGGGCGCCTGACTCCAGACTGAGCACCGTTCCTTTCCTGGCTGCTCCCCTCACTCCTTCGGAGGCCTGCTCCACGGACCTGCAGGCTTTTCCAGGGCATAGTGTGATATGTCACAGCCGCCCTGCTCTACACATGCTGTTTCCTCTGCCTGGAATGCCTTCTCCCCGCTCTTCACCCAGCTTGTTCTGGAAACGGCGCTTTCAAACTCGGCTCCGGAGCACGTCCTGCAGGAAGCCTGCCCAGAGCTAAATCTCAGCTGCCCCTTCCACAGCTCCGGGAGTCCCCGAGCTCCCTGGTGCCGAGCAGCTCTGTGGGTTACGAGTGCAGCTCTGGTAGACAGCAGGCATCCGAAAGCTGGGGTGGGTGACATCAGGTCACCTGGGCAGCCCTGGACGCTGGCCACACCCCTGAGCCATGTCCAGCCGTCTCTTAAGGCCGTACCCTCCGTGCTGCTTCCCTAGTCTCTGTTCTGAACTTTTCTTTGCAGCCAGAGAGGTAGGGAAAGCACCTGCCCTGTGACTTCGGCCAACCTGACAACCTGTAACTGCCCCAGCGACCGCTCTCCTCCACCTCGAGAACCCTTAGGTGTGGTTCACGCCTCTGCACAGCCCTTGCTCCTCCAGGCTGGGTGGTGTCTGTCCTCTACCGTGGCGGCTCTCCGGGGATGGGAGCTGTGGCCTGTACCCTGTGACCCAGCACTGTCCAGCCCAGGGCCTGCCCTGGAGCAGGAACTCTGCCCTCACAGGTGACTCACCCCTTGCCTGGTGCCAGCCAATTCAGACCTGGCTCAGCTCCAAGATGCTGCGCACATGTCCCAGGGACAAGGTCATGAGCCCGTGGGAGAGAGGGCGGGTTGCCCCCATGGCTCCTGACTTCTCACTGGAGGCCCCGAGGGAAAGGCACTGTGAAGGGGTCATGGTGGGGTCCTGGGGGTGCGGCGGCTCAGCCTCATGCTCGTGCTTCACTGACCACAAGTCCCCCAGCCCCTGCAGGCCTCAGAGTGAGCAGAGACTGGCAGAGCAGGTACCAAGGCCATCACAGGCAGCAGCATGAGGACGGGGGCCTGGCGTGAGCAGGGCTCGCATGCTTCTGTGTGGGGTGGCACCGAGAAGCCACAGGCCCCGGGACCAAGCAGCTTCTGCCCTGACACCAACGTGTTCTCGCCCTCTGGATGACAAGTAAGAGCCTAAGGTCTGGACTGCAGGCAGGCCTGGCCCAGATGCCCTGTTCCCAGGGTCCTGGGTGGGCAGGGTGGGCCCCTGGTGGTGGGAGGAGATGCAGTTGCTCACAGCACCTTGGCCAGCAAGGCTTGCACCCCTGGTGCCTCCCTCACCTGCGGAGCATATTAGGTGAACCTCACTTTCGCTGTCTCCGAGTCCCTGAAACCACCCCTGTGAGCCTGTGACCCCACTGTCATCTATGGTTGCAGTGGCCTCACAGCGCACGGAGATGTGAGCATCGGGGTGGGGCGGGGCCCGGCACACTGCAGCCCGGGCCGGCTCCTGCCAGCCTCGCCCCACCTGGAGTGGGCAGGGAGGGCGGCAAGGTGTCAGGATGAGGAACCCGGGAGTATGCGGGTGACAGGAAGGGGGCAGGTGGGGAGGGGACAGGGCACGCTCTGGATAAGATGGCAGGGAACTGGGGATTTGCCCCTGGGCAAGTCTCTAACAGGCTCTAAGCCTCAGTTTCCCCATCTGCAAATGCCACAATACGATGGCTCACAGAGGCAGGACCCTTGTGGGGATCAGGAGGGACAGGAGAGGACACAATCAGTGGTGTCAGTTTCAGCGTATCAAGATGTTCGCATGGGGCTGGGGATTTAGATCAGCGGCAAAGCGCCTGCCTGGCAAGCGCAAGGTCGTGAGTTCAGTTCCCGGTACCAGAGAAAAACAAACAAACAAAAAAAACAAAACAAAACAAAACAAAAAGATGTTCGCATAGTCTCAAAGTGTTGTCCCAGGAGATATTTAACAATTACAGAAGGCAAACTGTAACTTGACAGCAGAGAAGCTTCTACAGTGAAGGTGCCTTAATCAAGCTACCAGAGTTTAATCACATTATCACCAGGAAAAGGACAAACTAAGATGTGCCTGCCTCCTGCTGTGAGCCAGAGAATTCGTGGCCTCGTCTCTGTGGCACAAGGACATAGCACACGGTCCCACAGGGATGGACCTTCTACAAAACCCCTGGCTCCTCAGAATGTCAATGTCATGGAACAGAAAGACAGACTGACAGACTGAGGAACTGTTCTAGGTTAAAGGGGACTGAAGAGAGATGACAACTGACTGCAGTGCCTTAACTGAATCTCGGGGATAATTCATGAAATCTGAATAATAGTTTCACAGCAATGCTAATTCCCTGATATTATAATGTGCTATGGTTATATAAGAGAATGTCCTTATTTTAAGATCTACAGATAAAAGTGTTTGGGGTAAGAAGATATCCTATCTGCCGCTGGGCATGGTGGCACACACCTGTAATCCCAGCACTTGGGAGGCTGAGGCAGGAGGATCGTTGTGAGTTCGAGACCAGCCTGGGCTACAAAGTGAGCTCAAGGCCAGCCTGAACTGCATAGGGAGACCCTGTCTCAAAAAAGACAAATAAAGGAAAAAAAAGATATCCTACCTGCAACTTACTCTCAAATGGGCCAGAAAAAGAGTGGCAAAGACATACACACACACGATAAAGATACACACACACAGACAGCAAAGCAAGTGTGGGACATGCTACAATGGGGGGATCCAGCAAAGGGCCCCTGTGAATTTCTCCCAGGTGTCTGACACCTTTCCCACCCCAGTGCACTGATGCCACGGTGCAGAGGCAGGTACACCCTTGCGGGGCAGGTCTCCCCGAGGCCTTACCGAGCCACTGCTGGCCTTCCCAGCGTGCGCTTCCATCTGCTGCCAGTACTTCTTGGATTCCTGAACGATGTCTTCGTGCGTCATGCCTGGGGAAAGCAGGGCAGACACAGGTGTCCCTCACCGGGCCCGGCAAGAAGCCACAGAGGGCATCCAAAGGGTCTCAGTGGAACCTGAGGCCCCAGCAGAGGCCAGTCGGGCCTGACCACGGTCAGACTTAGGGTGTGGGACGCCACTCACCTTCTCCAGCCTGTGTGTCCATCCCAACACAGGGACGAAGGCCTGCTCCCCTCTGCCCCTTGGGATCACTATCCAGCATCCTCTCCGACCCCTGCCTCCCTCAGTGGAGCTCAGCCCTGTCCTTGCTTAGCAGCGCCAGCCTGCTGGTTCTCAGGGCTCCCGGCCTGGCCAGGGTCATCAGCTCTCCAGGGTACCGCGGTTCCTCACTGCTGGTCCCCAAAGCACAAATGCTGCAGGCCGGTGGCCCTGCCTCCCCACCCGGATCCCCACGCAGCCTCAGACTGGCCCGGCAGCTCTTCATGAAGCCTGCCCTCCTCCAAGCCCTCGCTCTTCCCAGCGTCTTCCCAGCATGTGCTGTTCTCTCACCCCACACGCTACTCACAGTCCTGCCAACAACCTGCAAGTGCGCATCTATGACCCCGACCTTCCCGCAAACTCCCCGCCACCCCGCCGGCCGCCTGCACAGCTCTCCACCTGAAACCAACAGTGCCCTGACCCCACCCCCGCTCTTCTGCAGACCCCCACTTCTCAGGCCACGGAACTTCATTCTTCTAGGTACGCTGACCCTGGAGGTGACCTTGACGCTGTCCTTGCTCTCATACTTCACATCCGATCCATCAGCGAATCCTGTTGGCTCCACCATGAAAATACACCAGAATCTGGCCCTCCTGCCACTTCCATCGCCACACCCTGGCCCGAGCCACATGCTCTCCAGCATCTCCTCTCCTGTCCTCGCCCCTCTGTTCTCCACTCAGCACCCAGAGCGACACTGATCTGACCCGCAACTCCACTCACACTTCACAGTTTCCGGACAAGCTTGGTATCGTGGTACACACCTGTAATCCTAGCGCTGTGGGAGGCAGAGGCAAGAGGATCTCAAGTTCAAAGCCCAGCCTGGGCAATTTTACAAGACTTGGGCTGGGGATGTAGCTCTGTGTGAAGGCTCTGGATTTAATCCCCAGTATCACAAAAACAAAACCAAAAAAACCTCTCAATACCATATTTAGATAGCTGCAGACATTGCACTGATTTTTTTTTGTGGTTTTTTTCGGATACCAGGAATCGAACTCATGACCTCACGCTTGCCAGGCAGGCACTGTGCCGCTGAGCTAAATCCCCAGCCCTAAAATTGTTCTTTTTCTTTTTCTTTTTCTTTTTTTGTTTTTTTTTTTCCCTGGTACCGGGGATCATGACCTTGGGCTTGCCAGGCAGGAACTGTGCCGCTGAGCTAACTTCCCGGCCCCACTGCACCGACTGAGACTGGCACTGTTCTCGGAGAAACACGGGGCCAGGGTGTGGTCTTTCCGCAAGTGTCACACTGTGGGGCCCAGGTCCAGACAGCACAGGGAAGCGCTCTACAGCCTCCGGTGCAATAAACAGGAGCTGCAGAAGCTGCTGCCCGGGTCATAAGGCAGATTGTTTTGGTCAACTGTTTTTTCTAACACCAGGGCTAATACTACAGTAACAATAAGAAGGCAGTATGGTAACGTATAAAGCAGTAATACACTTCATTTGTTGCCATTATCAAGTTCCGTGTCCTGCACCTAAGTCCATATGCCATGCTTTATGACTGGCTGTACAGCAGGTCTGTTTACACACCAGTGTCACCATAAACATGTGAGCAGGGCACGGCACTTCCTGGTCACAACACATATGACATCACTAGGTTACTGCAACTTTTCAGTTTCATTCCAGGCTTATGGGACCAACTTCATATATTCAGTCCACTGTTGACTAAAATGTCACTATGTGAGCATAACTATATTTCTTTTCCTTTTCTTTTTTTTTGAGACAGGGTCTCACCATGTAATTCAGGCTGGCCTTGAACTCACTATGTAACCCAGGCTGGTCTCATACTCACAGTGATCCTCCCGCCTCAGCCTCCGGAGGGCTAGATTTCAGGTGTGTGCTACCACACTTGGCTTCATGATTATATTTCTTTCTTTTTTGTTTTTTTTTCTTCTTCCAGTACCAGGAATCAAACTCACAACCTTGCGCTTGCCAGGCAGGCGCTTTGCCGCTGAGCTAAATCCCCAGCCCCCATGATTATATTTCTATTTAGGCCAAGGCCCTGCTGGCTCTGGGCCTTATGTCTCCCCTGTTCACTGTCTACCCCCATGGACAGTCCTCCTCCTGCCTCCTCTGCCAGCCTCGCTGTTCACTCGGCCTGGGTCTCACTTCCTGCCCTTCCTGCAGAGAGGCCTTCTCCCACTGCCTGACAGGAAATGCCCCAGGTCCCTCTCCTATGCTCTGCTTTACTTCAGAGCACTGCCTCACATCCGAAATCTGTCACTCCTGACTCGAACAGGATATCACCAGATGAGCAATATTTTATGCATGCCCTCTACTGCCGCTAGTTAAATTATGGCCTCAGAGGGACAGCTGTGCATCCCGCGTGAGGTGGACACAGGACGCCCTTCCCTACTGCTCCAGTGCCTGTCCTGTCCTGCCAGGACGTAAGTTCTCCAGAGCAAGGGCCTCGACCAAGTGGAGGCTGAACCCGGATGCAGAGGAAGGCGCTCCATACAGCGCCACCTGGTGGGCGGGCGAATGAGTGGCACGGGTCACCTGTGAGCGGAGGAGGAGCCACTACTTGCTGCACCCAGGCAGCAAGGGGAAAAGCTGGAGGAGGGGACAAAGCCAGGGCCCTGCAGGCTGAGCAGAGCTCCGACCTCTCTGGATGTGTCTGCGCGCTGCTCTGGCCCCTCCCGGTCCTCACCTGAGTACTGCTGCAGCAGCCACACCTTGAGCTCGATGAAACTGTGGGCGAAGTGGCAACTGTCCTCCCGCAGGCAGCCGTAGCGCACCTCGTGGCGGCACACGTCGAACTGGAAGTGCTCCTGGAACTGGCGGATCTTGGAGTACTTGAGGGAGGTGGAGCGGACGATGTGCACCAGGCACCTGCGGGCGGGCAGGGGAGGGCGTGACGCAGACTGCAGCCCGCCGCCCCAGCTGGCGGCTTCTCCCTGGGAGCCCCTGCCGTGTGAGGCCATTCCAGCTTGGAAGGGGAGGGGCCCCTGCCCTCGGGCAGCGCTGGACTTGGGCCCTAACTCTGCTGCCGTGTCCCCTGCTCAGGCTTCAGCATGGAGCCAGTTCAACAGCAGATGCCAAGGAGCAGAGGGCGCCAGACCTCACCTGCCGCAAGCCTGGGAGAGGGGAGTGCCTGTGCGGGGAGAGGGGGCATCTCCCTCGGGGTTCTGGCTCCGCGATCCAGAGTGGGTCTTGCACCCAGACGAATAGTGACAGAGCACTTCCTTTCAGCCAGGAACTCGTTTTGTCTTTTGGGGTACTGAGGATGGAACCCAGGGCCTTCATACTGACCGCATCCCCAGCCTTTTATTTTATAGTTGATTGCTAAATTGTCTAGGCTGGGCCTGAACTTGCTACCCTGCCTCAGCCTGCTAGAGTACTGGGATTACAGCCATGTGCTACCACAGCCAACTGTGGTAGCACGTGGTAGCACATGGAACCTTTACGACCCTCATTGGAACCCTACATCAGACCATCCCCAGCCTTGCAGAAGAGAAACCCAATGTGGCAACAGCTAGTGAGCCATCATAAAACCGGCCTCTGGCCAGGCTGGGATGTGGGATAGGTCTGCCTGGCTCCTGAACCCGGGCTCCATCCCCTTACTCTGGGGCAGAACTGGGGTGATGTCAGGTGTGGTGGCGCACACCTGTAATCCCAGCACTTGGGAAGCTGAGGCAGGAAGATCTTTGCAAGTTTGAGACCAGCCTGGGATACAAAGCGAGCTCAAGGCCAGCCTGAACCACATAGCAAGACCCTGTCTCAAAAAAAAAGACAAAAAACAAAACAAAACAAAACAAAACCAGAACTGGGGTGAGAAAGCGGGACAAAGGCAGGAATGCCAGGCCTGACCCAGCCGCCTACTTCCTGCCTGGTGTTGATAGCAGGGCAGTAGAGGAAGCCAGGCAGGCATCAGAGACCTGGTCCTACACTGCCTGCTGGCTGAGCTGCTCCCGAGGATCAGCTTTCTCTTCTGTCCAAGAGGGACAGGTGCTGCTCCCAGAGGACCACTGAGATTATTAAATGCTTGGAATGTACTAGCTGCCCAATAAACGGGGCTCCTGCCCTTGGCAGGCGGAGGCTGTCCCTGGCTCAGACTCCTTAGGTGTACTCTGGCTGCCGCCTTTCCCGGCCATCTGAGCCACTGCAGGGGACTCTCCGGCCGCCCCCAGTTCCCACTCACTTGTTGTTGTAGAAGCTGTGCTTGGCAGCCAGGTTGGAGCAGACGGCCGGAGAGTCCTTGGTGCCTTTGCTGATGATCCGGGGCTTACTGTCAAAGCAAATCTGCCCAGGAAGGGGAGGGGCTGGGACCCCGCAGGGACGCCTGGGAAAGGGCTGCTGGTTCCCCTAAGTCCCGCTCCAGGTCAGGGGAGTGAGGAAGAGTCCCGGGGTCCTCTCTCATGTCCCTGGCTCTAGCTCACGGATGACCTGGCTGTGGGTCCCTTCTCTTTCCTCCCTTTCTCAGGTGCCACCACTCCAAATGCCCGGGGCAGGAAGTCCTTCCATGTCTCTGAGCCTCAGTTTCCTCATCTGCAAAACTGGGGACAGCCACATCTGCTTTGTCCCACAGATTCACTGAGAAGGTCAAAAAAACAACATAAAAAGGAACTACAGGTTCTCTGTAACCTACGTTCTGCTGCCCGGCCGTGACCCCAGGACCCTGTCCCTGAGCAAGCAGGTGCTCGTCCGCTGGCGTGAAGGTCAGGGAAGGGGCAGGCTGTACTGCAGATAGGGCAGGACTGAACTACACCAAACCCTGTCAGCAGTGCAGAGCCGGAGCCCTTGCTCCACAGACACGGACACAACGCAGCCCCTGCCAGGCTAGGGCGGGGCGGGGAGCCAGGGCAAGGTCACCTGAGGCACAGCAGGGTCTTCTCAGTGGAGCTGCAGGGATCAGGGCTGAGGTTGGGGATCTGAGGCTCAGGAACACAGGGAGTTCTCTGGAGAGGGCACAGCCAAGACACGGGCGGGGAGGGCAGTGGGCACTGAAGCTGGCATGGCCATATGTGGTGGGAGGTATGGAAAGCAAGGCCGTGGACACCTTGCTCAGCCCAGCTGAGCACCCTCAACCGCACCACACCCACAACAGGGATTCAGGGCACCCTGGGCAATCGTCTGCCTGGTCCTGTGGGTGCTGGCTGTGAGGCCCACCGGGGCAGCCGGCACTGGACCGTGGGCCTGGGCTCCGGGCTTGAGCTCAGCTCTGCTCCGGACTAGCAGTGTGGCCCTCGGGCAGCACTTCACCTCCCTGGAGCCGGCATCGTTGACTATACAGGGACACTGCCACAAGGCAGGGACGGGGATCTAAAGCCCAGCGTGTGACCGGCCCCGGGGGAGGACCGGGTGCAGGACTACTCTCGTTTTCTGGCCTGTTTCCACCTCTGCAGATGGAGGGTGCGGGACAGATCTTGGCTCTAGCAGACTGGCTCCTTCCTCAGGGCCCGCCTCTCTGACAGCCCAGGGCTCTACCTCAGGCCCCCACGACAGCCTGTGGCAAGAGGCACCCCAGCCCTGCACACGCCCTGGACTAGGGGAGGTGGGGGGTGGGCAGGCGGCGGTACCTCACAGAGGAAGGTGAAGATGCCCTGGTGCTCCTTGAGGAGCTTGGCGATGGTGAGGCTGCCGCGCTTGACGCCCCCCAGCGGGTCGAAGAGCAGGTCTCGGTTGAGGGTGCCCTTCCGCTCCTCGGTCCACACGTCGATTTCCTCCTGATGGTAGGCGAAGGTGCAGTTATCCCCGTACTTACAGTCCTGCTTGTTAATCATGTCTGCAAAGAGGCAACAGGACACAGTTCCGCCAGGCGGGGACGGCGGCCCGCAGTGCCCCCGCGACCCCGCTGTGGCCAGGAGGGCTCAGCGCCACCAGGCGGGGTGCTGGTGCCTGCTGCTCCCCAAGGGTGCCGTGCCCAGGCCCTCTCCGTCTAGGACCCGGGGAGCTCGGTCATCACTCCTGCCCACGGCCCCTAGGGCTGTCTTAGAGGCTCTGCAGTGCTGTACCAGCCTCTGCACCATCCAAGGGGTTTGAAGAAATTATTATCCACCAAGAAATTGGAATTTTAGGACCAAGGGCCTCAGTCTTCTGACTCAGTCGGATCTGGGATTCCCCGGCCCCTCCGCCCCCCAGTCGAAGCCACCTTTTCTGTGAGCACAGAACACCGAGCTATGGGGTACGTGGCATAATTAGTCAAAAGCTCTTGTGGCTGGGAGTGGGAGGGAGGGAAGCAGGCTTGGACCAAGCGGAGCTGCCTCCTGGGGTAGGCCCTGACCTTCCCTCCTGCCTTTTTGTATGTTTGTTTGTGACAGGGTCTTGCTATGTAGTGCAGGCTGGCCTTGAACTCACTATGTAGCCCAGGCTGCCTCAAACTCGCGCTGATCCTCCTGCCTCAGCCTCTGTGTGCTGGAATTACAGGCATGCGCGCCCTGTTCCTCATTCTCCTTCTGATTCTGCCCTGTCCCAGCCTCTGCCAGGGTCCAGGCACAAGGAAACTGGGGTCGCAGACCCAGAGGAGCGGGCGCCATCCCGGGGTGCTAACAGAGGCAGGTGCTGGGGAAGTGCCGCTTGAGGGCATCCCAAGAGCTGAGCGACAGCGCACCATGAGTGGCGTGGGGGTGTCTGCGGCACGGCTAGGGCAGCGGGTGAGGAGGTAGATGTGGGTACCCAAGGGCCTCGTACCGTTTGGACTTTAACCGCAGGCCAGGGGCAGGGCTGCAGGGAGGACCGTGACATGGTCCAGCAGCTGAATGGGTGACTGCCGCAGGCTGGGTCGGGGGATAAAGGTAAAGCCTGGGGTGGCCTTTCCAAGCCTCAGTTTCCGCATCCAGAGTGGTACAGAGGCCTCGTGGTGAGTGGAAAGTGTGACAGGGAAAGCACCTCATCCCAGGCCTGCTTATGGGCCACTCAGACAGGACAAGGTGGAAAGAGAAGCAAGCAAATAAGGCAGGTGATGAATGTCCACTCAGTACTGACCAAATGCCGCGACCCAGAGGGGACAACGCCAATAATGTAATCATGAGACAGAACTGACAGTTAGCCGGGCACGGTGGTGCGCACCTGTCATCCTAGCACTCTGGGAGGCTGAGGCAGCAGGATTCCAAATTCAAGCTCACCCCAGGGAACTTAGTGATCGTCTCAAAATAAAAAGTAGAAAAGGGCTCGGGCAGAAGCTCAGTGCAAAGGCCCTGGGTACAATCCCCAGTACTGGGAAAAAAATAGTAAAAAGAAATGACACTGATAAAGCCTTCCCACGTGCCAGTCCCAGGTGCTCTCTACAGATTCTCTCTGCAGCCTCCTCGAGGAGAAATCGGCTCCCCATGACAGGGACCCTCGCCCTCCAGAGCCCAGGCCACCCCAAGGAGCTGGCTCCAAGCACATCCTGAGCGCTACTCACCTGTCGCTGGAGCTGGGGCACAGGAGACGCTCGCTGGGATGTGGAACTCGTCTTTGACGGCCCCAACTCTCAGCGTCCAACCTCCCCTACAGCTGAAGGGCCACGGCCGCCTCTGTGCCCAGCAGGGCAGTGGCTAGGGTGAGAGGATGAGGCCCCCGCAGCACCCCACTCACCTTTGCACAAGTAGTAGGAGCCCACGAAGCTGGTCTTGGTGGGCCGCGGCCGGATGCGCTTCCAGGTCTGATCCTCGGCGCTGCGGAGCCGCCCGAGCAGGGTGTCCCGCTTACACTTGTGCTCCAGGCCCTCGCGGTAGGTGTAGTCGCCCGCCCTGGGGCCTGGGCAGGGTGGGCAGGGAGGGTGAGTCCGGCAGAGCCGGGCGATGAGGACGAGGACAGACCCCACCCCTACCCTATCGGGGCCTCCCGCAGCTCCCGCTGCACGCTTCCCTGCTAGTTGCTCTAGAGACAGTGGGCTAGAGGGGGGTTCCAGGGAGCCATCTCCCCCCACCCCTTTCTACCATCACCTGGACCAGGACCCACGACGGACCTGCCTAACCCAGGGTTTCTCAAGAAAGCCCCGGGAGGTCGTGCCTGACAGGGGCAGGGCCCACAGCGTCCAGCCTGCCTCGCCCATCCTGAGGGCTTGCTTTCGGGGGCGCATCCGCCTGCGCTCCCACACTCTGAGATTCTGGCTCCCTGGGGGGCCGGGCGTGTGGCCGAGGCTGTGCCATTACCTGTCTTGGGGTAGCACAGCTGGCAGGCCTGCTTGAACTCGTGCGTGGCAGCCAAGGGGTTCTTGATGAGCAAGGCGGTGTTGGGCATGGAGGGCTCCGGCTGTTAAGGGAGGAGGCTGGGAGCACCGGGCGGCCTGGGCTCGGAGGTGGGGGCGTCCTCTGACCTCCCGCCCCACCCCAAAGCACAGCTGGGGCCCAGACCCTTGGAGCCCTTGTGGTCCACAAGCCTGGACTGTCAGTCCCGGGGCCGGCAGGGGAGTGCAGTGACGGTGAAGGAGCCCACCCCAGCGCCACCCCGAGGACCGCAGGGCCTGGCCCACGAGCTGGGGACTCACCGATGGCGCTGGCTTCTGAGTGCTGCTGGGCAGCCGGTGCTCCTGTGAGCTGGTCTCCTCTGGGCAGGGAGGCGACACAGGGGTCACTGCCGGCCACCGAGGGCACGAGGGCCTCCTGTCCTACTCTCGTGACCCCCGCCCTCCTCTGTTCTCTCGGCCACAGCCCGAGCACGTCCACCCCCCGGCCCCAGCACGAAGCCCGGGCTTGGCTCCGGGCTCCTTGGAGACTGCGCCCCACCTGTGCCCCTGGCGTGGTCCCTGACCCTTCCACCTCCAGGGCCTGGGCCTCCACTCCCTCTGCCAGCTGGTGAACCTCTCCCCCAAGACCTGGCCCAAGCCCCACCTCCCTCCTTCAGGGAGTCACCTCAGCCCCTCTGTGCCCACCATGGCTCTCAGAGTCCTTCTGTTGTGCGGGCTACGTGGGATCTCGGGGAGCCAGTCCTACCAGGGCCCACAGGGGTCAGTTTCCTCTGGATCCCTGGCACCCCCGCCCCCTAGCCTGAGGGGCTGCACAAAGCACACCAGACTGGGCAGCTCTGCCCTTTGGACTTGAACAGACCCCCAGACCGAGGCTGGGCTCCAGATGGTGCCACCCCCTCCGCCCTCCGGAGACCAGGGGGTTTGTCCTCACCCAGGAAGGAGTCCGGCTTGTCCAGTGAGCCCCGAGCTGACCCGAAGCTGTCAAGGGCATCCAGCCGGGTCTCCGAGTATGGCAGCAGGTCCAGGGGGTCCAGCGTGGGGCCTGGGGGGTCGAGGGCGTCCAGCACAGAGGCAGCCAGCTTCTTGGAGGGGTCCATGACGAGGCCAAAGGAGGCAGGGGGCAGCGGGCTGGAGACGGGGATGGAGCCGCCCACCACGGGTGGCAGTAGTGGGGTCCCGCCAGGGAACACAGGAATCAGCTGGGGCAGCTCGCTGGGCACACTGCCACCGGGCAGGCCACCCTGGACCAGAGACTGAGAGGGGGACAGAGGCAGGGTCAGGGGAGCACTTGCCTGCTGGCCGCGCACAATCGGGCACTCTGGGAAGCGAGCGAGCGAGCTGCTGCTCCCCGCGGCTCCACCTCAGCCTTCCGTCCCTTCTGGGGCGGCTCTGCTTCTGTGCTGGCCAGTACCTCCAAAGGCCTCTCTTCCCCAGCAGGGACGCCACTGTGAGACTAAGGGGCTTCAAGGGGACATTTCAGGAAGCAAGAGGGTGGCAGCATGGCTCACCAGTGAGTCCAGGAGGGTGTCCAGCTCCGGACCAAAGACGTCCCCGTCCGAAAAGTCATCCAGGCTCTCCGTGCTGGGGGCAGCCCTGCTGCTGCTGTCCAGGGGGGCCAGCAGGTCCAGGACGTGAGGGAACAGGGGCATCGTGGGGGTGGAGGGGAGCAGGGCCGGGGATCCTCGCAGGTCCACGTAACAGTCTGCGGAGGAGCTGGGCTCAGAGGCTGCAGGGATGCCATGGGGCAGGGGTGGACAGGGAGTCCCGGGGCCCGGGGCACTTGGCCAGCATCTTCCCTCTTCCCCAGCTCTGCCAGGGACCCTGCCTCGCTGCTGCCTGCCCCCAGAGGCAGGAAACTGGTGCAGCAGGGGGGCCCCTCAGTGCCACAGTATGGCCTGCTGGCCTTGGCTCCAGCTGGACAGCCTCCATTGCCCCCTTCCTCTGGGAGCAAAATAGTCCTCCAAGGGTCACTGACAAGGTGCAGCCCTGGCCACCAACGAGGAAGGGGGGGGGGCTTTGGAGGAGGTGGGTGCCCGAGGCAGGGACGTCTGGAGGGAGCCTCAAGGACCAGCCGGAGGGGAGCCTGCTGCCCTGACCCACTATTGGTCCCCATTTCGACCCTGTCCTCTTGATCAGGGACATTACCTGTTTCGATGTCATCTATGGACCCCAATCCATTGGAAGTTCCCTGTGGAGAGGAAGGACACAGGGTGGCAGTCCGGCAGGGGCACGGGCGGGGCCAGTGCACCCCACCTGCTTCTGCTGTGACCAGGGACGCAGGAGCTTCACGGGTACCTGGGATGGACGCTAAACTCCAGTCACGTGTCAGCCTTGGGGTCCAGCCTGGGGTGGGACAAGCACAGGCTAGGACGTGGGGGTGTGGGGTTGGAGTGCACCTCGTGGGAGGAATGCAAACTTGGAGCCTCAGCTTCCCCACCTATCAAAGGCTGGGAGTTAAGGATTTGTGTCTAGATGTTCCCCAAAGTCCCCTGCAGTCTTAGATGGGGCTTAATCAGAGGTGGCTGAGTCTACAGTGTGTGACGCTGGGCTTAAGGGTGTGTGATTACTAATCAGTCCACCGACTGGTCTGGCACCGCCCTATTCCCAGCAGTCTGGAGAAGATATAAGGGGCAGAAAGACACTGTTAAGCCTCCTTGTTGCTTTGCTACCTTTTGACCGCCATGAACTGGTTCTCCCCTGGGATGCCCCTCTAAGTCACCCTGTCTTGGAGCCAGCCGATTACGGACTGAGCCTGTACCGTAAGCCAAATAAACCCTTCCTCCCTTAACTTTGGGTGTTGGATATTTTGTCTCAACAAGAGAAAAGAGACTAGGACACTAGACTGCACACCAAGGGGGATGGCAGTGTTGTTACAAGCCTTCCCACCACACCACAGATGGTTGTAGCTCAAGGACAAGTGTGCCCTCCCCGAGGTACAGCCTCAGGTCCCCTGGGAGGGACAAAAGAGGGGCCTCCAAGGCGATGCACAGCCAACGTGCCCTTCTGTTGGAGGGAAAGCTGGCCGGAGCTTGCTGCGTGCCCGGAGGGTCCCTCACCTCCTGTCGCCTCCTTCCTTACCCTCCTGGGACTGTCACGGGCCTGAAGTGACTTAGTGCTGACAAGAGCTCAGAACTCGGCCTGGCACACGGGAAGTGCTTCGTCAGTGTTACAGATGCATAACAGACATTTTTTGTTTGTTTTTGAAACATGGTCATCCCGTCTGGCCTCAAACTCGTGATGATCCTCTTGCTTCAGCCTCCCAAGTGCTAGGGTTACAGGCATGTGTCACCTTGCCTGGCTAGACGCACAGAACGTTTTAAAGTGTGACTCTCAGGAGGCTGACTTAGGTGTCTCTCCCCAAACACACTCCCCCTGCCTTGGCCCTACCTCTGGGCCATGTGTAGCAGAAGTCATCCCTCTCCCCAGAACGGTCTCATTTTCCCTGAATTTCCCCGTAAGGGCCCAGGTGCTGTCCACCTCCTCAGTATTCCCGTGGAGAGCTGGGCAAGGCTTAGGCCCCTGCCATCAGCCACCCTTCCACAGGGGCAGCAGGAGCAAGCAGAGCAGCCAGTGCCCCACCTCCTGCCAGGTGTGCCCACCACTTCACCCCCACTGCTGGGTCCAGCAATGTGTCACACCAAGGAGGTGGGGCCAGGCTGCAGTTCACAGAGAACCCTTCCAGCACCCCCCGAGCCTGTCCATGGCGATCACAGCAGATCCCGCGCTTCCACCCCCGGGGTGGGTCTGCTGGACACAGTGAAGCTGCCCCGACTGGAGCTCCCTTCTCTCTATAGTACCGGGCATAGGATGTGTGAGGTCCCAGGTGAACGCCTCGAGGGACAGCTGTGATTCTCCCTGCACCCTCAGCCCTGCCGGACAGTCACCTCCCAGCCTCCTCACGGTGACTGTCAGGCTCTTCTCCTGTCAGACTTCCCAGCTAGTAGCACTTGCTTAGCTACCAGGGCTCATGGAGGCGCTGGGAACGCCTGAGGCTGTCTCATGATTCCCCATATCCCACAGCCACCACGTAAAGAGAAGGAAGCAGAGGCCTGAGAAGAGGAGTGGCCACTGTAGACAGGGGTCCCTCCAGATCTGAACCCCAACATGCCCGGCTGCAGAGCCCGGATTCTCCTGTGCCCCCTGGAAAGGAGCTGGCCTTGTGCCCTGGGACCTCCCTCCTTCCCGACGTCAGGGCTCCGCCAGGCTGTGCCCCGGCTGTGTGTGCCGGCCTCTGGCCTCTGCCCGTCTGAGATCTGCTCCACCGGCTCTGGGAAGCCCTCTCCAGCCAGGCTGCTGCGGGCTCCTGCTCCCACACTCAGGGGCAGCTCCTGTCTGTGCAGGGCCCCTTGCCGGCCTCCCGTGCCCTAAGAACTCCCTGTGGGCACTGCGCAGGCCAGCCCACTTCTAGGTCACGCACGTGTGGAGTGACAGATGGGCAGGACGTACGAGCGGGCTGTGGGACTCCTCGCAGCCAGCACTTGTCTATGTGGCACCTACAAGACGCCAGGGGCTGTGCCGGGACAGCGCCCAGCCTGAGTGTCCCAGGGCAGCGGGCTGACCGCTCCTCCCCACGGTGGCACCCACACCACTTAGGCTTCTCACCGACCTCCACTTCTGTGACCAGCCCTGGGCCCCGTGGACACAGTGGGGCCCCGGCAAAGCTGCAGGGATGGCTGAAAGGCCTGCCAGGGGCCGGGGGCCCTCGTGCCAGGCATGGTGCCGTCTGCGGTTCGCTGGCTGGAGATGAGATCACTGTATTGCCAGAGGTTGCCCATACCACAGAGTGAGCCCAAAGCTCTCACAGCGGACGAACTGAGACAGGTTGGTGAGGGGTGCGGCGGGGGGGGGGGGTCCCGTCCCAGCCCCCACCCTACCTGATCTGCCATGGCAGCTGCAGTGCCGTTGCTGAGGAGAGAAAAGGTTTCCAATTCCTGCCAGGGGTTGGAGAGAGGAGGGAAGACGTCAGGATTCTGGAAAACTGCCCTCAGGGTACCAGAAAGGCCCTGACATGCCTGCCGAGGTCTGCAGTGGGTCTGAGGTTCCCTGCCCCCAGCCTGCGACCTCCACCCGCCAACCCAGGTCAGATTCGGTTTTCTTCTACCCTTGACCTGGGCAGGGGACTGAATGCAAATATTCCCGCTCTGTGTCAGGCCCGGCGCCAGGGGCCGTCTCCAAACTCTCTCCGTCCCTTCCTCTCTAAGTGCTGGGGAGGGGGGGCACAATTATCCCGCGTTCCAGTGCAGAGACCGAGGCGGAGCTCCTCCGGCTCGCTCAGGTCACAGCACATCCCGCACGCAGCTCCCGGCTCGTGGGATCTACGTGGATACGAAGGAGCTGAGCAGACGCCGACCTCACAGAGGCACTGCGCGCGGGTTATTTGAGAACACAGGCTCAAGGACGCCGGTGTCAACCTGGCCTCCGCCAGGGCGGTGCAGGTGGCCAGGGTAGGGAGGGAGTGTGCTTAACAGCTGCTGTCTGAGGTGAACAGGAAGCCTTGGCTGTTCTTTCCTCTCCCACAAGGTCCTGGTCCCCATCCCAGGGCTTTCAGCCAGCAGGGAGAGATCACCTGCCATCACTCACCCTGCGTCCTCACCCGGCCTAGCCCCCCTGCCCAGCCTCCCGGCGCTGCCTGGCCGCTCCCTCATCCCCACGCCACCCCAGGGCCCCGAGCCACCCACCTGGGGCCTCTTGTACGCCTTTCGCACTCGCAACCCCAGCTTCTGCGCCAGCTCCTGGCCCAACTGGGTGACACTTTCATCCTGGAAAGGTGAGACCAGGGTGGGTCAGGTCGCACGGCCCACATACCTATGCTCCAGACCCCTGTGTGGCCCTGCAAGGGGCCCCAGCTACCCCGTGTGACAGGCATGGACCTGAGGCCCAGGAGGGGCGCTGCTTTCCAAGTCACAGCTGGGAAGTCACGTGGTGGGACCCACAAACGTATGCTTTCTATTTTGTCTTTTATTTTGAGAAGGGCAAAGAAATAATTTTGTTTTTACTTTCTTTTATTCTATTTTATTTCTCTTTAAGATGAACTTTTTCTTCTTCTTTTGTTTTTTTTAAGACAGGGTCTTGTTTTATAGCCCAATCTGGCCTTGAGCTCTTGGCGATCCTCCTACCTCCTCTCCTGGTTTTCTTTGTTGCTGGGACTATAGGGGTGCACCACCATGCCTGGTGAGGTGGACTCTTACTGTGTTACTCAGACTGCCCTAGAATCCCTGGGCTCAAGCAACCCTCCTGCCTCCACTTGATTATCTGGGATGTGCACCATGGTACATGGCTGTGGTATTTATTTAGCAGTATTAGGGATTAAACCCAAGACATTCTCACTGAATTATATGCCTAGCATTCATTCATGCATTCATTTATTTTGAGACAGGGTCTTGTTAAGTTTCTTAGGTGGGGCTCAAACTTGGTGATCCTCCTGCCTCAGCCTCCAGGAGTATTGGGATTACAGGCACGCACCACCATGCTCCCCTAAAACATGCTGTTTGAAATATTCTGTCTCTTACAGTGCCAGGGACGGCACCCACAGTCTTACGTATGCTAGGCAAGTGCTCCACCTGTGAGCTCTACCTGAGCCCTTAGCTTCGATTTCTAACATCCAGCAGATACCGGTGTCATTGGCAAAGGCACGACTATTCCGACATGAGCAAGGGCCCCTCACGGCCCCCCTCACCTCCAGCTCCTCTCCTGGTTTTCTTTGTTGCTGTTTTCCCTGAGGACCTTTTCTGGGAAGTCAGGCACCGAGATCTATAAAATAATGCTTAGCTTTGTTTTATGGTGCTTTTCTCTTTCTCTTTTCTCTCTCTCTCTCTCTTTCACTCACTCACTACGTACCCGGGCTGTCCTGGAATTGGCAGCCATCCTCCTGCCTCAGCCTCGTGAGTGCTTTTATTTTAACACAGGATCTTGCTAGATGCTAAGTTGCCCAGTCTGGGCTCCAACTTAAGACCCTCCTGCCTCAGCCTCCCAAAGTTCTGGATTTACAGGCCTGTGCCACCATGTCTGGCACAAAACATTAACTGTGAACTGAACAGAACCAGAGAAGCAGGAAGTAAGTGAATTCTAATGTGGTGGGGGCAGGTGTCCAGCTGTGTGTGAGCCGAGCTCCCACTCAGGCTCTCTCGGTCATTTGCCCTGGCTGTTTTTCCACTCGGTGACAACCCCAAAACAGGACTCCAGCACATACGGCGCCTTTTTAATCCTCACATAATCCTGTACTCAGAGTGCAGAGGTCAAGAGCACAGACCTAAAAGTCCTAGGGTTCAAATCCTGCCTCCCCCAGCTGCTGTGCTCTTGGGTAGTTCCTTTCTCTCCAATCCTCTCTGTTAAAGGACTGGGGACTGGGACTGGGGATTTAGCTCAGCGGCAGAGCGCTTGCCTGGCAAGCACGAGGTCATGAGTTCGATTCCCGGTACCAGAAAAAACAACAACAACAACAACAAATAGAGTACTGGGACTAAGCCCACATCCCCAGGCCCCTATTCATTTATTTATTTATGTTAAGACAAAGTCTTCCTAAATTCCTAAGTTACTCAAACTGCACTTGAACTTGTGATCCTCCTGCCTCAGCCTCCTAGACTGCTTGGATCATAGACACGTGCCACTGTGCCTGGCTCTTTTGCCTTTAAATTGGGTACAATAAAAGATCTGCCTAGCAGGGCTGTGGCAAGGATAGAGTGAGTTAATGCCCAGCACGAGGTCTCAGCAGTGCCCAGCACACGCTCAGAGCTCAGAATGCAACGCTAACTCCACATTGGCTCACAGGGGCGGAGCCCGGGGCTCAGAGAGAGGTGCTGGTTTGGACTCACGTGCGGGAGTGCGAGGGAGCACCGGCTGCTGCACTCGTAGGCCTCCTTGTGGCGCCCCAGCTCGTTGAGGGCCCGCGCCTTGCGGAAGAGAGCGCGGATGCTCTCGCCGTCCAGGCCCAGCGCCTTCTCGCTGTCCTCCAGCGCCTTCTCGTACAGACCCTGTGGGAAGGAGCTGCTACAGTCAGCGAGGGACCCTCACTGCCCTCCCCTCAGGCTCCTGCACTGCCTGGAGGAGGCCAGAGCTCTAAGGAGAAGTCTGGGGAGAAAGTGAGGGGGCTGGGGCGTGAGGTGGGAGAGACGAGTGAGGTGGGTCAGACTCCCACCCATGCCCAGGGCCACCCAAGATTCTAACTCCGTTCATCTGGGGCAGGGCTAGGGCATCAGTACTGTCTAAACACTTTTTATTATGCATCTGCAGCTGTACTTTTTTTTTTGTGAGATAGTGTCTTGCTCTATTGCCCAGGCTGGCCTCCATCTCCTGGGCTGAAGTGATCCTCCTGCCTCAGCTTCCAGAGTGGCTGGCACTTCCGATGTGAGCTACCATGCCCAGCTCATCTGTGTTTTTAAAGCTCTCCGGAGGGTCTGTGATGTAGCTTGGAATGCATAGTGGGGTCTGGACGGGGGCAGCACCCGAGGCATGAGGGCAGCAGGGCAGGAAGGGCTGCCAGGCTCACCATGGTGAAGTAGCAGGCGGCCCGGTTGACGTGCAGCTTGCACAGCAGCTCACAGGGCAGGGCCACCTGGTCAGAGGCGGCATAGTCAGCCACGTTCAGCCCCTCCATGTACTGCACCAGGGCCTGCTTGTAGTCCTTCTCCCGGAACAGGTCATTGCCCTCGGCGAACAGGTTCTGCACCAGCTTGAGCAGGAAGGCCTGTGCAGGACGGGCGCGTGGACTCAGGGCTGCTTCCTGCCGCTCCCATGCCCACAACCCTCTCCTCTGATACCCTCCTATCCCCTCACCTGGCCCGGCAGCTGACACTCACCTCATACTCCTCTTGCTTTAGCGGGAGGGTTGACCTGGCAGGGAAAGAGAAGGACACAGGGCTGGGTGTGAGCACAGCTGCCAGCCCAGGGAGGCCCCGACGCAGCTGTAGGCCTAAGGGCACGGCAGGTGCCAGTCCTTCATCTCAGCCCTTGGTGCCTTGTGGACAAGGGGGAGGGGGCAGCATGCAGGCTGCCCATGCCCAAGGGGGACTTGCATTTCCCCGGCAGACAGCTGGGCTCCCCCAGGTGCTGAGAGAGCGGCAGGTACGAGCACCACCCCCAGGAAGCCACCCCTCTTCTAACAGACCAGGGGCTCCATGCCTCCTGGGAAATGGGGAGCCAAGGCTGGGCCTGGGGCCTCCAGGGCCTGGAAAAGCCAGGAAGGGGAGAGGGTACAGGGGCTCCTGGAGCAGGAATGGGAAGCAGCAGGAAGGTGCATGCCTCTAATTCCAGTTATTCCAGAGGCTGAGGCAGGAGAATTGCAAGCTCAAACCCAGCCTGGTCAACTTACTGACTTGGCAAGAACCTTGTCTCAAAATCAAAAAGGGCTGAGGAGGTAGCTCAGTGCAAAAGCCCTGGGTTCAATCTCCAGTATCAGGGGTAAAAAAAGGGAAGAATATGGAGCGCACAGCACTGAGCCTAAAAGACTGCACACAGCCCATACTTGGAGACTATCAGTTCACTAGATCCCTGGATGCCCGCAGGCACGCAGGAGAAGGAACAGAAGTGTCGGTGCCGCGGTGGTGGGTACTCGAAGGCTGACAGAATGCACAAGACCCAAGGTGCCCAGGGCGGGGGTGCAGGCCTGTGGAGTGCACGCCTCTGCCTTGCCAGCCCCTCCCCGCTCAAAGCCCACCGGTCCCAGTGCCCACCGGTCCCAGCGGATCAGCACGGGCTCAGCCAGCGGGCAAAGGGAGGACCTGAGGGTGCGGTTTTAGGAGGCGCCCAGCCCGCCCGCCCCGCCGCGCTGCTTACTGAATGAACTGCAGCCCCTTCTCGATGTCCGCCTTCCGTTTCTGCCTCTCCATCAGTCTCTGCGGGGAGAGTGCAGCCCGTCAGTGGGCAGCAGGGCCTGCTCGCTGCCCCCCTCCCCCACAGGCTCGCCTGGCTCCGCAGGGTCTTTAAGGAGGACGACCCCCCTCAGGGTCCACAGGGCCCATCAGAATCAGACCAAACCACCACCCTCCAGGCCCTTGTCCCACAGGACTCTGCGTCTGGTGCCCTCGGCGAGCAAAGGCTGCACGGAGACCACCTGTCCTCTCCCGCAGGCGGCCTGGGGCTGGTACTGCCCAGACACCCTCGAGTTCATGGGAAGACCTCGCGTCACCATCTGACTTCACGGTACGGAGAGGGACAGAGGAAATGCACGCTGACGCTGATGACCGAAGGTGTGGGGGCGCACGCAGCGCTGGGCCCCGCTCCCAGGACAAGCGGACTCTCCCACAGTGCTGGACGGAGCGTCAGTGCCTGCGCCGGGACGGGGAGCTCAGAGAGCACCACCACGAGCGGGCAGGCGGCCGAGGGCGCCTGGACATGGAACAGGCTTCCTCTCCTGTCCACTAGCGGCACCTCGGTGCACCCTGGTGACAGCGCCCCGGGGGGACAGCCGGGCAGCGGACGGCCAGCGTGCCCACCTCCCCCTCACAGTGCAGGACGTGGTCAGCCCAGGCCGCCTGAGCACCTGGGCCCATCCCGCTTTCCTCTGCCCTCTCCAGCACACCTGTGGCTGCCCAGTCCTCGTCACGCAGTGCGCGCCACACACTCGCTGGACGGTGACTGCACCGGGGCGCCGCCCCAGGCACGGACACACGCCCACTGCTGGCCTGCTGGCCCTCCAGGTGGGTAGGTGGGGGCCTGCGTCCCATCCCAGTGCTCGCAATCACTCTGTGACCTCGGACCTCACTGTCCCGAGGGGGAGGTGGGGGAACGGCAGCTCCTGCCCCCCAGGCTGCCACGAGGGCTGGGAGCTGACAGGTGTGCAGCGCCCACTGCAGATCAGTAACACGCCAGCGTCACGAGAAACGTGTGGGCCAGCACCGCTCCTCCCTCTTGCTAAATACACTGCTCGGGTCAGACACGGGCTGCGACCCTGTCCTGATGCAGGAGGCTGGCAGCGGCGGCCCTGGTCTCTCAGCTGCTTTCTCTGTCCTCCACCTCCCCATCGGGGAAACAAAGCCCTCGGGCCTCAGCCACAGCAGGGCCTGGGGCTTCCCTCCTTGCTGAGATGCCAAGCAGTCTCCTCCCCTGCACAGCCTTCTCCCCTCTGAGCGGCCGCGTCACCCCTCGCTCATCTGATGACCCAGAGCCTAGGGAGCCACAGGCCAGGGTCAGAGCCGTCCCTGTCCTGCACGGAGCGAATCTAGCAGAGCAGCAAGGGCCCAGCACACGGTCTGGCCTGGCCACGATAGACACGGCTGAGCCCTGCTGGGGCGACCGGGGTCACAACCCAGCCCCAGTCCCCGCCTGTCCCTAGACAACTGGGCTGGCTCCTCCCTGCCCCCTAGACTTCATCTTAAAATAAAACTTTAAGAAGGGTCAAGGGTGAAGGTCAGGGGTAGAGTGCTTGCCTAGCTTGTGCAAAGCCATGGGCTCCATCCCTAGTCCTGGAAGAAAGAAGTGTTTTTCCTGTGGTAAGGACATGGGTTTTGAGGACCAGGGGTGGCCTGCTGCAGTCTGAGTGTCTGTGTCCTCCCAGACACGTGCTGAAGCTCTGATCCCTGAGGTGGCCACCTGGAGATAGGACGCACATGGGGGTCAAGGATAAATGGGCTCAGCAGAGCTGGGCCCCGGTCCAACAGGATCAGTGACCTTTTTGAGACAGCTGCATGCTGCTCTCGCCCTGTCTTCTCTCCCATAGACGCACAAGGAAAGGCCGTGTGAGGACACAGTGCGGTCTGTCGGCCAGGAAGAGCCCTTGCCAGAAACCAAACCAGCCGCACCTCTCTGTTTTCCTTTTTTGTGGTACTGGGAATTGAACCCACGGGCTTGCACGTGCCAGGCAGTGCTCTAATGCTGAGCTACATCCTCCCCCTCCAGTCTTGTTAAACTGCCCAGGCTGTACTCAAACTTGCAACCCTCCTGCCTCAGCCTCCCAGGTAGTTGGGATTACAGGCATGAGTCACCTTGCCCAGCTTTAGCCAGCACCTTAATCTAGGACTTTTGCCTCCAGAATTCAAGAAAATAAACATCTGTTGTTTAACACATTCCCACAAGCTTGAACCACCAATGGTACATGTACAACTATGCCCCCCTCACCCCCACCCTGGCAGCAAGACAAACGGATTACAGCCCTGCTGTATATGTGGTAAACCATGAGTCTATGGCACTTTGTTATGTCAGGCCAAGTTGAGGGAGGGTTAAAGGGTCAGTTGTTCTCCACTGAGGAGCGAGGTAGCTTTCCGGAAGGTGAGCATCAGGCATAACTTGGAGGGGGCACCGAATGGAAGAACAAAAAGCATGTGGGCCACAAAAACCACTCAGGTCAGACTCAGATCCGTGTGAGGTGGCAGTGAATCCCCTGAACCCCAGCACTCTGGGAGGCTGAGGCAGGAAGATACCAAGTTCAAGCTCAGCCTGGACAAATTAGAGACTTAACAAGACCCTGTCTCAAGAGAAAACACAGAGCTGGGTGTGGTGGCACACGCCTGTAATCCCAGCACTCGGGAGGCTGAGGCAGGAGGATCGTTGTGAGTTCAAACCAGCCTGGGCTACAAAGTGAGCTCAAGGCCAGTCTGAACTGCAGAGTGAGACCCTGTCTCAAAAAAAGACAGAAAAAAGAAAACACAGGGACCGGGGATACAGTTCAGCGGCACAGTGCCTGCCTGGTGAGCACAAGGTCCTGAGTTCAGTTCTCGGTGTGGGAAAAAAATATATATATATAAAAAGGGCTGGAGATATAGCTCAGCATGAAGCCTTTGGGTTCAATCCAAAGGAGAAAAGGGAAGCAAAGAAGGGAAGAAGGAAGGGACAAACGAATGAAGGTCAAGATTGCCCAGGTCCTGCAGCCAGACAGAACAGTTTCCACGTCCCCAACTCCAGGTTCTTAGAATTTAGTTCTTAGAATTTCAGCCGGGCATGCTGTAATCCCAGCACTCGGGAGGCTGAGGCAGGAGGGTCGTTCAAGGCCAGCCTGGGTTACAAAGTGAGCTCAAGGTCAGCCCGAACTGCATAGCGAGAGCCTATCTCAAAAAGACAAAAAAAAAAAAAAAAAAAGAATGTAGGAATTTCATACTGAACCTGCTTCAAGTGGGCTAGTCCCTGAAATACAGCTGTGAACTAAGGACCTGACAGGAAACGATTCGCTTGGCACATCAGCACGGTGCATAGCTATGCGGCCAGGAGCACACCTGGTCCAACCCAAGACCTCTTCTTGGTTTCTTAGTGCCTCCTTCCCTCATTTTATTTTTT